GGTCTCGGGAGTCTGGCGAAACGATTGATGAATCTGGCGAAAAATCAGCGGTGCTTGTTCTCCTGGCTCGGCCTCGGATGTTCCGATACCACGCGGGTTGATGCGGCCCGCGATTCAGAATTTGATTTCGCAATGTTTGAAATATGAAGGGTAGGCAAAAGTAATTGCAACACAGTCGGATTTTACGACTAAGTATAATATGCTGAATAAGTACACGAAGCTACCAGAGACTAACTATGAGAAGAAAATAATTATTGCCTTCTCTACAAATGCGCGCGCTTTTATATGTCGCTTTGTCGCTGAGAGTCGTTCTCCGATTGGTCCATGGAGTTATGGCGAGGGAAGAGATTCATTCCTTTGCATGATGTCACCGCGTCGGTGTCCTGAGTGGTGTTTAGGATTCAGTTTTCATGCTCCTGTTTATGTTGGCTTATCGCACTGAGCGATAGCGGTTTCTTTGGATCGATCCGTTGATTTCGAGACTCTCCAGCAGCACGCAGCATTCGGCATTTTAATTATAATGTTTTAACGCTCGCGAATATGCATATGCGCGCGTACTTACATCTAGTAACGTAGGGATAAAATATCTAGTGATGTCTGAAATCAGACAAGTCGGCCTCCCGGTCTATAATAATATATTATTAATGTTCTAAAATAGATCCGGACGTTACAGGGTCTATCCTTCTAATCTCTATTCTTTTGTTCTTATGATTTATATCTCTTCTGTATTCTTTTCTTCATGAGCTAGCGATGACAATTGTGGCTCCTGCTCACAGGATGCGGTAACACTTGCCACGCGGCGGCAGTTCGTGCGACAACCAATCAATATGCTGCTTTCCATAATAATCTTGTAGCTGTCACAGAAAAACAACATATTGATTGGCTATTGCGCGAACTTCCGCCGCGCGGCAAGCGTTGCTGCGTCCTATGGGCAGGAGCCATTATTTGCCTGATAATTTTACAGGCACAAACGACACGAAGCAAGCCGCAATCCACATGAAGTGAGCTAAGCGAGAGAACCAATCAGCATCGCGGAAAAGCGGCACCAATTAAATCTCTTACATGTCTTTTTTTAGAAAAGACGACGTTTTGTGGAAAAACGACGTTTTGGGCCCATATTCTTGAAATTTTTGCGTATACATAATTTTCATTGTCCAACTATTTTATGGTATGATTATACCTGCGCAATAAAACTTACGTAAACTTACATATACGCAACTATTTCAAGAATAAAGCTTGATCTACAATGTGTTCTTTACTTCCTACTTCTTTCTCTTTATCTCTTTCTGACTCAAACTTTAAGCTTTAAACCAGAAAAAGACAGAAGACATGAAACAGAACACAAAGAGCAGGTCAGGCTTAAAGCTTGATCTATAATGTGTTATTTGCTTCCTGTTACTTTTTCTTTATTTCTTTCTGACTCAAGCCTTAAATCTTAAACTAAAAAAAGACAGAAAACAAGAAACAGGAAGCAAAGAACACATTGTAGATTAGGCTTAAAGCTTGATCTACAATATGCTCTTTGTTTCCTGCTTCTTTCTCTTTATCTCTTTCTGATTCAAACCTTAAGCTTTAAGCCAGAAAAAGATAGAAGACAAGAAACAAAATGCAAAGAGCATATTGTAGATCAAGCTTTAGAGGTCTTGGAATACAACCCAAGAACATCAAAAAAACATTCGATCTTCTCCAATTGAGCTAGAATATTCGTTAGTCGAATCGATACTCCTTTCTAGTTCGATTAGATCGAACCATATCATGCGTTGTACGCAAGCGCTGAAACCGAGAGTGGGGATGCGCAGAAACTTATTTTGAGCCAGTGGCACACGATGCTTGTTTTCGATTGCTTGCCCTTATAGAAATATCATATTAAGAATCATTAATAATTACTTATTATCCAGTATTTTTAATACTGAAAATAAGTAATTATCAACGATTCTTACGATATTTCTATAAGGGTGGATGGAAATACTCTGTTTTAATTGGTGCATGTCTATCCATCTCCAGAAATACATGAATCAGAACAGGATAGCGATCATGAATTTTTTCCCCTAGTGTGAACTCGTGAAAAGTGAAAATTTTGTAATAAACTCGTGAAAGATGAATCTTTTACTAAACTCATTAAAAATGAAAGATTTAACGTGAATTTGTAAGTAAAACAAATATTACAATATATTCAAGATAACACCAATTTGCAATGGACATTTTTATGGCTCCAGCACATAGGACAGGTAATGCTTGCCGCGCGGCGGAAGTCCGCGCGATAGCCAATTAATATGTTGTTTTTCCGTAAGAGCTAGAAGGTTATTACGGAAAGCAGCATATTGATTGGCTGTCGCGCGAACTTCCGCCGCGCGGTAAGCATTACCGCGTCCTGTGTGCAGGAGCCATTAGAATTTTTTCAGCATGTTTTTAAGACATAGTGATGTCTTTAGAACGTCCCTTGGAAGTCTGCTTGTCTGGGATTACTTTAGGATAAATTATTAAAAGATAAGATATTTTATTCGTATTAAAATTATAAATCTGCAGAAAATATATATTTCATATAAAATAATACATGAAATACATACAATAAATACATAAAATAAACTTACATTTTACTTACTGCATATAATTTATAATATATTACACTTTAACTTTTTGATGCGTATCTTAACTTTGCAAACTTCGTCGGTATGTTTTCACTGCCTATACGTCATCACGCTTCAATTGGCTTTCGTTGTTCATTTTTAATGAACGTACCCTGACAGCACCGGACGTGACGTAGTAACATCGTAACGACGTGCTTGTAAAGCCCATTCTACAATTGCGTAAGCGTAGTCGTGAACGTAAGAGTCAACTAATCCGAATGTTTTATTCACTGATTGTTTTACTCTGATTGGTTGTCGTAATCACTTACAACCACTTATAACCACGTTCACGCAATTGTAGAATGGGCTTAAAGGGACGTCTACATTGGAAGTAAGCAGTAAGAAGTAGGAAGTAAAAATAAGAATTTGACCAATCATAGTTGATTATTCTTCTCACATTCGACTATGGTTGGTCAATTTCTTACTCTTATAGCAAATTCGGTTGCTTGCACTAGTGTGCACTGAGTGCGCACTAAGCTTGTTCATAGTATGTTATTATATTTAAAGATTGTCTTAAATAATTCTCAAATAAATTCTCAAATATTTTTAACCATAATATGATATGTATAACATCCGTACGAATCATTTTATTAGTTAAAATGTTTTTAAATATGTATTTAAGACATGATCTTAAATATAAGAATGTACTGTAAACAAGCCTTAATGCGCACTCAGTGCGCACTAGTGCAAGCTACCGAATTCGCTATTAGGGTGCCGTCCCATTGAGCACGGATCGGAAAGCCGGATCGGATTTCTTACTATAATGAGCGTTCCGTTCTCTAGTTCCGTTCCGTAAAAGTTTCTTCTACCAGTTCCATGTAGCAAAAACGGAACGGAATGGCGCGTCGGTCGCAAATAAATATGATTATGTCAAATAGATATGATAAATTCGTCAATATTTCGTTATTTTGACGCGACAGAATTAATTATATACATAATTTATGCAATTATCTTGCCGATAACATTGTCATGAATATTCTGAAATATTTAATTGAAGAGTGAAATATATTTTATAATTAGAAATCCGTTCCGTTTTTGCTACATGAGAGGAAACTTTTACGGAACGGAACTAGAGAACGGAACGCTCATTATAGGCTGCGTACCGAAATTCACTGCCAGTACTGAAATTCTATAGTATACGTAACATGAACTATAGATTTTCAGTACTGACAGTGAATTTAGGAACGCAGCCATAGTGAGAAATCCGATCCGGCGTTCCGATCCGTGCTCAATGGGACGGCACCCTTACTTCCTACTTCTTGCTATTTACTTCCAATGTAGACGTCCCTTTACGTTCACGACTACGCTTACGCAATTGTAGAATAGGCTTTAAGTAATAGCTATGCTAGCAATATAAGAGTATAACGTATATATAGAAGCGTGCTTTCCGTATAGGTTAGGTATGGCGGTAACCACAACTCGTTATTTCGGCATTAACAACATTGTCGTCCGCGAGTGATAATTATTGTCTCGTCATCATTTTACAATGTTCAGATTCCTAAGGACACGCGCTGTCACGCTGCAGAATGGTCGCATTATGTCAACACGATCAACCACGCACTGTTCGATACGAATCTGCTCGTTTTGCAACTACTGCCACTCTAGATCGTCGAAATGTATGTAGCGCATAATATTCTGTTATGTTATATTTGCAGAATAATCACAACACGTATATACTGATTCTGTAAGACTAACTTTTTAATTGAAATGATGTAACTCTTTTGAAACTAGGAATATATGTATTGTAGAATATGTGTATCGTGATTACGATATATAGTTATGATTTGTTACTTTCACATTACATTTTATAAATGAATATCTCAATGTCAAAGTTTATTAGTAGTGATAATATCATGATTTGATATTAATCTAGCGATAAATTCATTACTACGTGCTTTAATGCATTTATATGGTTATCACAAGTAATTCTGTTTTAGCAATCAGGAATATATTGCTTTGCCATTATGCAACAACAGGTACAGCTGAACAGTATGCACCACTAAAAAAGAAGACTAAGCAACGCTCTAAGAAGTATGCAGAATTATTAGAAGGTAAATTAATATACAAAAAGTACATGAACTCAATTAGAATTATTCCAATGTATATGTTATATATTTTATAAATAAAAAAATAATTATACAGAATGTACCTATATACAAAATACAATATAATAATTGTATCTTATTATAGTAACAGATCAAGCTATCAGTAACAGAAAAGCAGCTGTACGAAAGTTAAACTCTACTCGTATATCTATGTTGGTTGGACAACCAGATATTACACTAGACAAGTTACATAAAATCAGTAGTTCCTATTTTGATAAAAAGACACACACAACACAAGCAACGGTTGACGATACTAAGTTAAAAAATGTATGTACCATGAATATGATTTAAATTTAAAATTAAGATTGATTACTACCATATATAATTAAAGTAAGATATATTTTATTATAATATCTAAAATAGACTTGGATTTTTAATTTTAAGTTTAAAATTGTTACAGTTTCATTTGTTAAAAATATGTTAGAAATAAAAATATATTAGAAATAAAAATTTTAATTATAAATAAAATTGATTTGTTAAATTTACAGAAAAATAAGCTAGACGATGTACATTATATGATACTTAAAGAATCCAAAAACATCATAGAAGATAAATCCATGATAGTGGGAGAATTACAGGAATCTGGCATAAGTGATAGCACAACCTTGATAAAAGACTCTGCTTTTGTGGACACGTTACATCAGATCAGAAATAATGATACAGATGAAAATCAAGATGATTTTGACAAGCTTCCACAAACTTCCATGAAGCAGGAAATTTCAGAATACAATAAAATTCCTTTCACAAAGGAGAAGGATCCATTTGAAATTTTTCCCTCTGATTATAACTTGATATCCCAATTGCTGGCATGCATAGATGTTTACACACAAAATGGAATGCTAAACAAAAGCTTTAAGCTGATATTATCAAACAAGAAACAACTTAATGCGAGCAAGATACCTGCCACTGCAGTCTACAATCTACTTATGAAAGGTTACGCTTCTAAGTCGCATCCGGAAAGGGTTTCAGAGATCTATGATTTAATGGTTGAGGACCATGTGAAAATGGATGTGGAGACGTTTGCTACCATGTTCCAAGTAATTGGAAACATGAAATCACAGACAAAACAGATGGAGATGTTGACGAAAGTGATTAAAGATATGACTCGCTACAAGGTCTTCTTCAGCGACATACTAAACACATCGCAGATGAAACCGGCGCATCGCGAGGCTATTCTCCGATGTATTCGTTTGGCGTCTCCGGAATACAACGCGACATATCCCAGCTTCGACAACTCGTATAAATGTAAGTTACTGCAGAATCTAAAAGTGGGACATAATTATCACAGTCCGACCAAAGGAATCGTGAGCTTGAACGAACTACGGCAAGTGGTTCAAACGCAGATCGACGCCGAAATGCAGCAAGAACTGAAAGTGGAGAATATCGCTAAATTCACCGGAGATGTTAGCGTTAAGCAACAGGCTGTAAGTTAGTAATTGTAAAATTAACTTTATTAGCACTTATATATATAGTATATATTTATTACCATTCAGCTATATTATTAGCACTTATATATTATCAGTGTCAATTTACGGTAAAACCGATTAACCGTGCTGTTCACCCCTTTGAATGCAGGTCGAACGAATCGCGGAATGGGAGAAATCCTGGAAGTTAGCTGTAGTGGAGGCTTTCGAAAAGAACCTGTCTCACCTAAAGCAAAAGGAGATGAGAATAATCCATGATTTATCCACTCTCTATCCATTTCTACAAGTGTTGCCGCAGGAGGCGTACGTTGATGCAATTATGCGCGAGATTAGACGACTGGCCAGATCCTCCGAAGCATTCAACTTTTCTATGTCGTTCGTTTATTTGACATTAGGAAAATATATTTATAAAAAGTACGAGTTTCACAAGATGAAAGAGACCAAACTCACGGACAACATTACTAAAATCTACGACAAGTACCTAGAGTGGTACACGCAGCAGGACTCTACCGACGTAAACGTGAACGGACGTATCAAGTGGCAACAACTCACTCAGGAAGTCATGAAGACTGGCCTTCATTCCGATATAACGATCCCGATGTGGCCCCGTCACATCCTAATAAACGTCGGCAAGTTCTTATACAACATCATCGTGAACAACGTGAAGATTCCGTATAGAACGAAACCAGGCGCTCCTGAGCGACTGATACCTGCGTTCTATTTGCTCTTTAGAAATCAGCACTCGTACTTAACGGAGCAGATCAAACCACATCCTCATTTGTATAGGGTCTTTAGTGAATCGCATCCGGAAATATTGACCTTCGAGACAGTCCTGTTGCCGATGCTTATTCCACCACGTCCTTGGATCAACGTGAATACCGGAGGTTACCTCTTCTCCAAAGCCGATTTCGTTCGTGATTCTTGTATCGAAGTACGTATTCCCTACTTCATTATTGTCACTCGTATCTTAAAATCTCAAAGAATTTGTTTTTTCTCATTGAATACAATATGTTTCAAACAAATTAGATGAGCTCGATGTATCTCATGAAAAACACGCCGACAGAACAGCTTTACCCAGCTTTAGATTCTTTAAATCAGCTCGGCTCGATACCGTGGAGAATCAATCAGCCTGTCCTGGATATTTTGATTCAAGTACGTTCTAATAACGGAGTCACTTCGTTATATTGATTTAATTACTCGCTAATAAAATTATTTATTATTTACATATTCTAACAATATTATTTAGATTTTTAGAGAAGGTGGCTCAGAAGAACTGAATGTGCCTCAACCATCGTCATCGCTTCTACCTCTGTCTGAACAACTGAAAAACTTAACAGAACAGAATAACAAAAGTAAAATATCGATGTTGATGATACAGCACAAACGTAAAAAGAACGAAATGTTTTCACTGTGGTGCGACTGTTTGTACAAATTATGTCTCGCTAATCATGTAAGTCTTTACGTATACAAATTATGACGTCACAAGTATATATTTCTTACATTTTTGTACCGTGTTTTTTAATATAAGAGCACTGATAACATTTTTAAATTCATCGATTAAGAATTCATCCTTATTTTGTAGTTTAGAGATCAGGTGTTCTGGTTACCACATAATCTAGACTTCAGAGGTAGAGCATACCCAGTGCCGCCTCATCTCACCCATCTTACTTCGGACTTAGGACGTTCGTTTCTCATATTTGCTCAAAAGAAACCTCTGGGCCCAAAAGGTCTCGATTGGTTAAAAATTCACGCGATCAACTTGACCGGTATGAAGAAACGCGAGCCGATAGATAAACGGCTGGAATTCGCGAATGAAGTATTAGACCTCATCATAGACAGTGCGAGAAATCCTTTAAAGGTAACTATTATATGTATCTGTATTTCGACCTTTATCATCTTGGGAGAGTCAGGTCAGTTTTCTTTCAAGTTTGTTTATATTTTTGTATGCACTTATTCATAATAATCAGTTTGTAATAATCTTCAGGGAAAAAAGTGGTGGATGAAGTCCGATGAGCCTTGGCAGACCTTAGCAACGTGTAAAGAAATAGATAAGGCTCTGCAGTGTCCGAATCCGGAAGAGTACCTCACCGGATTCCCCATTCACCAAGACGGCACTTGTAACGGATTGCAACATTACGCCGCTCTTGGCAGGGATCAGATTGGAGCAGAGAGTGTAAATTTGTATCCTGCAAGCACACCGCAAGATGTGTACAGTGTTGTCGTCGCTATGGTACGTAAAAATAATCTTATTGCTGGTATTTGTTAACAAAAATACAACATTCCAAAGTTTGAAGTCTGCAAATATCGCACGCTTTTTCAGGTCGATGAATTTAGGAAGAGAGATGCGGAGAACGGTCTTGAAATAGCCCAAGTCTTAGAAGGGCATATTAGCAGGAAAGTTATAAAGCAAACTGTAATGACTACGGTATATGGTGTGACAAAGTTTGGTGCTAGGCTACAGATTACCAGACAACTGAGCGGTGAGTAAAATTGTCAGCAAAAAAGGATGCCGGTAAAAGATGATGCGACTCTCACATTGATTTTATCGTACTGCGCAGACATAAAGGAGTTCCCTCAGGAGCACATTTGGAGTGGCAGTCTGTACTTGGTTCAACAGACATTCAAGTCCCTGCAGACTATGTTCACGAGCGCAAAGGAGATTCAAGATTGGTTCACGGATTGCGCTCGCATCATTTCAACACAATGCAATCAGTACGTGCAATGGGTGACGCCGTTAGGTCTGCCAGTCCTACAGCCATACAACAAACACATCAAGCGAAATGCTAATACTAATACCAAAGGCCTTAAGTAAGTGCTTATCTTTCCTACGTTTAATGTATCTCTTTACATATTTATATATTTCTCATGTTTAATATATTTCTATTTTTCTCATATTTCCTGCCACATATGTAACACGTATACACTTGACTCTTTGCAGAAAACCGGATACTATGAAGCAAAAGAACGCTTTTCCACCAAATTTTATTCACTCTCTCGATTCTTGTCACATGATGCTGACGAGTTTGCATTGCGAGCAAGCAGGTATCACGTTCATGTCAGTGCACGATTGCTTCTGGACACACCCACAATCAGTGGAAATTATGAGCAAAGTAAGTAACATTAATTGATACGAGAAGATGTAATTACTCGAAGTATTATTGAACAGTCGTAATACAGGAATGTAAACAATTTTCCGTTTTTAGATCTGTCGAGAGCAATTTGTCGCACTTCATTGTGAACCTATTCTCGAGGATTTGTCAGAGTTCTTTTGTAACAGATACATGAAATGTTTTATAAATGACAGGTAAGAGTTTTTCGTTCGTGAAGTTTAGATAATTTTAAAATTTAAAAACGGAAGAAAATCTAAAATCATCGAATTATAATACGTAAACAAGTAAAATGTTAATTTCTTATCAATATTACTTAATTAAAATTTTAGAAAACAGAAGGAGGACTTTTCACCGGAGATCTTCCGTAAGTTGCCAAAGAAGGGCAATTTTGATATCAACAAAGTTCTGTCGTCTCCATACTTCTTTAGTTAAAATTTAGCTCCATTATTTTCTTGTGTTGTGCTTCAAAGAAATTACATTTCAATGAAATGTAGAAAAAGATGTATAAGAAAGTAAGTCGAGACGTAGTTTTGTATAAAAAAGAGAAAGAAACTAATTTAATGCTAGATGCTAGTATATGCCATGAAATATTGATTTCATAGAATCCAAGGTTAGTAAATATATGTTACTTGAAACTATCTGACTTTAATGTGAAATTAATTAATTTTTACCAGTGGTATAATTTAATACAAAAACTCAGGTTTGTAATTCTCTCATTTTCTTATTTTCATTTCTCTCATTTTCTTATAGATTGATATATTCAAAAGTTTTAGATACCTTATTTTGAATTAGATTTTTAATTAATCTATAAACGAAAAATATGTTTTTATTCATCAGTCTTGATATAGTAAATATATTGAGCGAAAATATTCAATTTTAGGATAGATTTTTAAAATATTAAAATTCTATCCCACTTCGAAAATGTATTATATTATTGTATACTGCCTTGTATATTAATATATTAATTATATATTAAGATATATGTACATTGTTAATTATTATTTATATATGTAAAAAAGAGATAAAATGTAAAAAATAGTTTGAACTGATTAATGTATACTTCCAGACTTCATTAAGATCGAAAAGTATAAACCAATCAGATTCAAAAGCTCATTGAGCGGTTTGTAATATTGGATGCTTCCAATAGAGGTCTACTGTAGATCTATTTTCTATTGTTGAACAAGCTGCAGGGAGTACAAACTCCCGTTTGGAAAATAGCACGCTCTCTATACTTACCGCTCTGCAATCTGCGGATATGACCGAACTAAACGGGTGACGTTATGCGGAGTGGGAATGCGGGCCAATTGAAGTATGAATGACAGACGTTATAGCAAGCAATAGTAAGCAACATATGCACGTATATAATTGCGTGCATGCATATATGCCTATGTATAAATGTATATCTCTTACTATTTTCATAAGATGATGAGAATTAAAAAATGAAGAAACTAATAGCATGTTCGACTGGCCCTGGGTTAATCGCTCTGAGAGCAATTGACGTCATAAGTCTCTACTAGCCAATCATAAAGCTTATAAATACTTATTCGACTAATAAACGTAGGCTGAATAACCCAGAGTGGGTTAACCCAGAGCCAGTCGAACATGCTATAAATTATATGAGGTATCCGGTAACTCGCACGATGCCGTATTCCCAATTCGCATGACGTCACTCGTTTAGTTCGGCCACATCCGGAGACTATCTCAGAGGACGTGACTAAAAATGGGGGCCAATTTTTACAAGAGGGAGTTTGTACTCTCTGGCCTATATTCTGAATCCTCTTTTATCGATAAAAGTGCTTTAAATGTAGTTTCTCAGCCAATCAGGTGGCTTCTAAGCCTCTTTTAGAAGCACTTTTATAGATAAGAGGACTCAGAATATGGGCCTTAGAAGTCCTTGAATATTTTTAGGATATTCTGAGGAATTATGCGGATATTTAGCAATCTTCTGGATGTCTTTGGAACATCTTTTAAATCTTGTTCTATGTAGGCTCGATTAAAGAAAAAATGAGAGAACTGGTGCAGTTAATCAGAGACCCTTGAAAAGCTATATTCAAGGCACTTTTATCGATAAAAGAGGTTTCAGAACATGGGCCTAAAAGTCCCCAAGATATCCCTTTAAGATCCAAGACCTATTCTTTGTAACTGCACTGCTGAACTAGTACAATAAATTATTGGGAGTGTGCATTAATTTTAAGGGTTTTTTTTGGTAAAAATACGACTTTATTGTGAAAAAATGGTTACAAATTGATCATTCAAAATAATATCCATCATTAGCCACTACTTTTTCCCATCTTTCTGGTAATAGGTGAATTCCACGTCGAAAGAACGACACATCTTTTGAGGCTATCCATGAATCGACCCATTTTTTGACATCCTCATAAGAATGGAAGCACTGCTCAGACAGGTCATGAGTCATCGATCGAAATAGGTGGTAATCAGAAGGAGTAATATCTGGAGAATACGGCGGGTGTGGTAGGATATCCCAGTTAAACGCTTCTAAAGTTTTTTTGACCGGTTTCGCAATATGTGGCCGAATGTTGCCATGCTGGAAAATCACTTTGTCATGTCTTTTCGCGTAACCTGGCCGTTTTTGCTTCAATGCTCGATTCAATTGCATCAATTGTTGTTGGTAGCGTTCCCCAACATTTCCAGTGATGGTTTCGTTGGGTTGGAGCAGCTCATAATACACTACACCCAGCTGATCCCACCATATACAGAGCATGAATTTGGCGCCATGAATATTCGGCTTTGCCGTCGATGTTGATGGTTCGCCTGGCCTGCATGATTTGTTGCGCTTCGGATTATCGTAGGGTATCCATTTTTCATCACCCGTTACGATACAATGCAAAAAACTTTTTCTTCTATGCCTTTCAAGCAACAATTCACAGGTCATTTTGCGCCTTTCAACGTCCCTCGGCTTCAACTCGTACGGCACCCAATTTCCTTGCTTTTGAATCATTCCAATGGTCTTCAAATGTCTGGAAATTGTTAATTGATCAACATTTAATGATTCTGCAAGTTCTTCTTGCGTTTGACTCGGGTCTTGATCGTGTAAAGCTTCCACTTCATCATCTTCCAATTTTTTCGGCTGGCCTGGACGTTCCTTGTCTTCCGTGCCAAAGTCACCTTTTTTATAGCGTCGAAACCAGTACTCACATGTTGAAATCGATGGAGCATAATCACCATAAGCTTCCGACAGCATTCGTTGACTTTCAGCAGCACTTTTCTTCAAATGGAAGCAAAAAATCAAAGTTTCCTGCAAATTACGTTTTGTTGGCACAAAACTCGACATTTTCAATGCTCAAAAAAACAATGTTGTTTACACTTCGGCGAAATGATACATAGAGTCCGTTTCCACGCATGATACGCATGAAGCGCAACGTTAGGGTGCTATTTCACGTGTCGTACGACAAGCTTTTCAGATACGTTTATTGGTTGGCGAATAGAGTATTTCTAGGTTCTCTATTCGTCAACTAATGAACGTATCCAAAAAGCTTGTCGTACGTAAAATATCAGCCTTAGAGTGACAGAGATACGAAAGTAAGATTAAATGAGAGGGAGAGCACTCGGGTGAGGTTCTAGATTAGGTTAGGTTAGTTCTCGAACGCATGGCTGCCTCAGCTCCGAAGGGGAACGTCTCGATTGACCACGATACGATTGGACACAACCAACCGATGAAAAGAATTATCTAGTGAATTACTAGGTCGAACCAATCATTACAATCTGTGTCCAATCGGGGTCAATCGGGTCCACCCGCTCTGAGGTAGTGCAGTCCATGCGTTCGAGAACTAACCTAACTTAGGTTCGAGAACCTCACCCGAGTGCAGCCCTATCCGACTTTCCTATCCTGCCTATACAAAACTGTGTCCATGTAATGACGAAAAAGTTGCAGGTGGCGCTACTATCGAGTTGGCCTATTAATATATATAGACCCAGATAGCCAAACTTGTAGGCCTATTCTCTAACTTTCTAACGACAACGTCGTTATCGTTACGTTATCGCGACGATCGTCGCTTGCGCTGACGTTGTAACGAAAATGCTATTCTATAACTCAAGCTAGCGATATCGTATCGATACAAAATGTGATACCGACGTCGTATATTCAGTTCAATATAACTTCACTGCTGCTGTGTTCAGCCAATCAAATCTCTTTTCCTTGTGTATCTTTTTTAATGAGTTTAGGAACAGTAAATACAAATATTGGCTGTGTCAACAATTATATGTGACAGTTAACCAAAATATGTCAAAATAAGTATATGTAAAATAAATAATACACAAGAAGATTAAATCAAACATTAATTTGGCATCAACTATATGAGCTTATATTAAAATCGTAATTTGTCATCAAAATATATCGACATAACTTCCCAGACAGCACAATATCTAAAAGTGAGACATCTTTAAGACGCTTTAAGTTGTCCTTAAGACAAGTTTATAGTAAAGTATTGTAAAGTATTAAAGTATTGTCTTAAAGATGTCTTAAAGTTGCGTTAAAGAAGTCTTATGACTCGATTTTGAACATTTGTGCCGTCTGGGTTAATAAAACGTGATACACAAGTATTACAATGAAAAAATGTAATTGTATATATAATATCCCAGATAGCCAAACCTGCGCGAACAGATTTCGAGCAAAGCTTGCTATCAACTTTTGACGGCAAATAGATAACAAATTTGATGCAGGATCTGTTATATCAAATTTTGCTGCCAAATTGTCGCCAGATATGCGGCAGAGCTTGTTGTCGGATAATTGCTGCAGATTTGCAGCCAAAACTACGCAGAGCTTGTAGCGATTTGACGGCAGATTGGCGACAGAAACTGCGCAGACCTTGCTGCGCTGCAAGGTTTGCGCGGTTTTTGCTGCAAATTTGGCATCAATTGCCCGACAGCAATCTGTCGCTAAAACCGTAGCATAATGTACCCAGATAGAAATGTGTGATGATCATGTTTCATCATACACACACACACACGTGTGTGTGTGTGTGTGTGTGTGTACACATATACATATATATATATATGGAACCTACTGAATCTGTCGAAATGTGATGGAACGCATGTATTTTAATGCCAAAATCTCTTATAATAAATGTACACACACATACACACGCGCGCACACACACACACACTACAAACTGATTGTTTTTAATAATACTCTTGACAAACACAAAAGATGGGACCTACTGAATCTGTCGAAATGTGATGGAACGCACGTATTTTAATGTCGAAATCTCTTATACAATATTATTTTATATTATACAATATATCTTATAACATTTTTTATTATAAAACTTCCAAACAGAGGAAAGAATGTAGGACGTCCTCAAATGATAATTTAATTGGAATCGGAGCCAGAACTGGCATCCGATTCGTATTCGCCGACGTTAATGGTGAACTTGTACTCCTGATCGCAGCCGAGATAAGCGTCGCTCATAAAGTACAACGTGTAGGAATGTTGACCAGGTGCGGGTGCGACGAAGTCGAGCTTGATCTTCGCCTTCTGTTGCAACGTTAGTCGCTTGATGGACAGCAGGGAATTGCTCTTTGGATCGCCTATTACCACCCACCAACCTTCCTCGCGTTTCTGCGGGAAGAAAGGCGCGACGACCGGTCCGGTGACTTCGTCTTCACGTTCCAATTGCAC